TGGAGTCGGGCCGCCGGGCGGAGGAGCCCACCGTCGACAAGCGATCGGAGCATCTCCTCGGTGACGTCCGACGGATCCTGAGGGTCCGCTCGATGACAACGATATCACCGCCATGGGTGCGGCTGGGGAATCAAAGCGGCGGTGAGTCTTTTCTCTCCCTCCCACGCTCTCACCTTTTTCTCGCTTCCTCCTAGGCTCGCTCTTCCTCCTCTCCTTCTCGGCACTCGCTGCTCTAGCGATGGCTCTGTGGGGGCGGCGCTGATGCAGGCAAGGTAAGACGAGGAGGGGCAAAACTCCCTAGGTATTTATGCAGGGAGGAGGCGAAACGAGCGGGCGATGAAATCGGGGAGATTTCCCCCCAATCTGGCGCGGTTAACCACGAGCCGATTTCACCGGCCCACGCGCCCACGTCTCCCGCATTAAATGCGAGGACGGTTACGTCCCATCCACCACGCCACGCTCGGCCACTATGGCAGCAGGTACCGTTTCGACTCCCAATAAAACTGCCTCAAAAGGCGCGCCACTCGCGGCCGAGCCAATAGGGAAAATATTTCCCGCGGCCTGTTCCTTTCATAGGAAGGAACCGGGCTCTGAGCCTATTACGATCCAGGGGTTCGAAGGCTGGACCCCAAAAGGGTTTCGACAGCTGCCCTAGGATAACAGAGTCAGGGGCGACTGCGGGCGAGCCTATTCGGGGCCGAGACCCAAGCGAGCGAAACGCTTGGGACGCCCAAAGTCGTGTCCGAGACCGGCAGGAAAGTATCCGAATGGGATCCCACCGTAGGGAGGCACCGAGCCACCGAGGCCCAACGAACGGCCTCGGCACCCACTAGAGAAATCCTCTGGTACTCTTGGAGTGTGTCTCTGGACTGCTAGCCGTCCCCTAGCGAATGGGGTTCGGGCCTCCACTCGGACTACCCGATAACAGCTCACCGGAAGTGCCACCGCTCGTGCCCATCGAGGGTAGCGAGGCACATTCCACCCCTCCTTCCGAGCGAAAAGGAAGCACGAGGGTCGCATAAAAAGTCAGGGGAACCCCTGACGGCCTTCTCGCCCTATGCAGAGGCTAGGGGGCTCCTCCTGCAAATATGCCGAGACCCCACGACCCGGGCTCGCGCCCAAAGGGGCCTCGGCAAACAAACCCTCACGCGCGAGGGGCGTATAAAAAGTCAGGGGAACTCCCGACGGCCCTCTCGCTCTGCGCAGAGGCTAGGGGCTCTTCCTGCGACCTTGCCGAGACCAGAATGGGCTCGGCAAACAAACCCCTCACGCCGAGGGGCGTATAAAAGTCGGGGAACTCCCGGCGACCCTCTCGCTCTCTGCTTGAGAGGCTAGGGGCTCTTCCTGCGATCTTGCCGAGACCGAATGGGCTCGGCAAACAAACTCCCTCCGTCCGAACGAAAAGGATATGTGAGGGCGATTGAAAAAGTCGAGAGACCCCGACCGTCCCCTCTTGCTCCAGCGGAGGCTCAGGGCTCCTCTTACACCCAAAAACCAAGACAAAAACACGATAAAGGGCACCGAGCCCGTTACGGTCCAGGGGTTCAAGGTCAGGGCCTCCAAGAGGTTTCGACAGCCGCCCGAGAACAGAGTCGGGGGCGACTTGAGGCGAGCTGCGAATGGCCCAGTTGAACGAGCAACGATCGCTCGGGCGTCCTAAGTCGTGTCCGAGACCGACAGAAAGTATCCGAATGGGATCCCACCGTGGGAGGCACCGAGCCACCGAGGCCCAAATGAACGGCCTCGGCACCCACTAGAGAAATCTGCGATACTTTTGGAGTGCGTCTACGGACCACTAGCCGTCCCCTAGCGAACGGGCTCGGGCCTCCACTCGGACTACCCGATAACAACTCACCGAAAGTGTCCACGCTCGCGCCCATCGAGGGTAGCGTGGCACATTCCACCCCTCCTTCCGAGCGAAAGGAAGCGTGAGGGACATACCCAACGTCAGGGGGACCCCTGACGAACCTCTCGCTCCATGCGGAGGCTAGAGGCCCTTTTTGCAACCTCGTCAAAACCCAAGCAATCGAACTTGCGCTTATGGGCTCGGCAAATGCAATAAGAACCGATCACTCAAACGCTGAAGTAGAAAGCCCCGGAGGTGTAACTTCACTCCTCCGGGGCTCAAAGACTACACCCGTGGGCAGAGTGCGCTCGCACACCCACCGGAACCTCGAAAACAAACCAATTCCTACGGAGCAGGCATAAACCCAGCCTCGACGAACCCTCGGAAAAGTGCACGCACTCACCCCGAGGCTCGGAGGCTCTTGTCGGGGTACCTTAGAACGGGGTACCCCAAGCAAAACATCAAAACAAAGCTAGAAGGTAAGCAGGGCCCCTCACACCCACGACCCGAGCCCTCCTCCACCTCGCCTCGTGCCTCGGCGGGAGGTCTCGAACGAACTCGCCTCATGAGGCTCCCAGTAGGCCTTGGCAGGGGGCGCCGAGCCTCGGCAGGGGGTGCCGTCTCCGTCTCGCCCGAGGCTATCCAGGGAAGGCCTCGGCAGAGGCCTCATTCTCCGTATCGCGCGAGGCCTCATTCTCCGTGTCGCTCGAGGCCGGCTCGTCCACGGTCCGTCGCCCCCCGTCTCGGCCGACCCTCCCAACAACTCGTCATGTCTCATTAATGCTTCAACCACTCCTGCAATCTCAATGGACGGTGGCTCAACGCCACAGATGGCCGACGCGACCGAGGTCGCATCGGTATCCTCTCTGCGGCGGGACAAAGCATGTGTCCTACCACTGTGTCCTACCACCGTGTCCACGACCAGCACCATACCGACTGAGAAAGGGTACGACGAGGATTACCGACCACTGTGTCCGAACGCTGTACCCATGATCGGCCGCCCGCTCAAGGGCTCGGCATCAGACACCGAGGCCTCGGCGATCTTGGGGTTCGTGCTCGCCGAGACCCCCCATCGCGAGCAGCGCCCTCGGCATCGACCAAGCCTCGGCATCGCGCCACATCCATCCATGATGGCTTGCACGTTCGCCGCCGCATCCACTCCGAGGCATTCCCGGGGCTCCCACGACGCACAGGACCTGATGGGATGACCACGCCGCCCCAGTACTCTAAGGATGGACCACTCCGACGGCCATGCCGCCACAGGAACAGGCTACAGGGCCCGGACACGCCGCCTCTGTTCACACGACGCCGTATAATCAGCTCATGTACCGCCCAAGTCCTCCCTTCATGCTATAAAAGGAGAGGACCTGGGTTGTTTTAGGGGGACGGGAGACACCTTGTAACACACACGTACACTCCTGCCGCCGGAGAGCAACGTCTCAAGCGGTCCGCACGGCACCCTGCCAAGACCTAGGACCAGCTCCTTCTCTCCTTTAGCTTGTAACCCCCTACTACGAGCACCTTGGTGCAAGGAATACAAGATCGATCTCTCAGACTGGAAGTAGGGCCTCGATTGCCTGAACCAGTATAAACCTTGTGTCTCTTTGCATCACCATCCGGATCGGGAGCACGCAGAACAAATTCACTAGTTGGTTGAGGACCCCCTGGTCCGAAGCACCGACATCCGTGTACTTCACCACGCTAAAATACTCACTTCGATGCAATTAATAATACCAAAACATGAAGCTAGTGTTTAAACATTTTAGCTAGAATTTAAATGTCAAGATAGCATTGTCTTACTACTTTTCCATACATAGAAAAGTTAGGGTTCAATTCAAACTAACAGCCTGTAATATTTTTGTTACAATTTTTAAAAGGCCTAAACCCTATTAACCGCTACCAACAAGTATTTCATGCAATAGTCCATACCTTATACTAACCCATATGAGCAAAATATTTAAGCACCATTTAACTATTTTGCTCAATATAATTCGCCAAAAATGATATTTATAGAATAGTTCAAGTGTTTGCCAACTTAATGAAAAGAGCTTATCTTAACGTCAAATTTGATTTTTGAGCTCCCAAAACACTAGTTAACATCTATTTTTCAAAAGTTAAAGTTGCATTTCCATCTACTAAACTTGTACCTCAATTTTTATTTAAGTACTAAATACAAGTTATGTTTGATCCTAGTTTATAGAAATTATTTTTCGCCTCACGTGCGTTATAAATTTTAAAAACCCGAAAACTTGTCAGGCTAATCCTTCTCGGACCTAAATCTGGTGCTAAGCAAGCTCGTAACACCAGGAGTGTTACAGTTTCGACCCCTCGACAGCCGACCTACATCATATTCCTTTTTGAAGGCGTTGGCTTTGTAGGTCCACATGATTCCCACTTTGGTGGTTTTGTCCTGACAAAGAGTTTGTAAGTAAACGAGGATGCGAAGGATTACTACCGCGCAAGATCAAAATTTGAGGCGTGACATTAGGAGTTTCAAGTAAACGGGGATACGAAGGATTGTTACTGCACAAGATCAAGGCAAGTTTAAAGCATGGACATATAAGTTAGATGTTTAGTCTTTCTAGCTCTCGTGGTCTTATTTCTTTTTGTTTTTTTTATGTGCCACACTTTTGAGGATTGGAGCCTAAAGGCTCGTCCTGTTCAGCGAATGAACAACGTTTTTCTCTCACAATAAATCAATATAAGTATGTCAAATTTTAGCTAAACGAACGGGGCGCCACGCCGTGGAGTTCAAATGATAGCGTCCGATCCGATTTATACGGAATTATTATAGAAGCGTTCTTCCTTTTCATGCCCGACACGTAAGTCTCCAATGCTGGACTGCCGAGCGCGCGCCGGTACCGGCAGCACCCGATGATTCTTCCATGGTGTGGCGTCTATTTTCATTTTTCAACGAAGTTTATTACCACGTCGCCGGCGGCAATCCACCCTATTGCCCTGTGCTTGCTCTTCTGTTGCTTTCTGCCGCTGCGGTATCCCGCCCGTGGTGGATGACAATGACATCTCGCGTGATCGGCTGCAACTGCTCGTGACGCCATCAGCACAGCTCGGCCGGTCACGCCACACCGCTCCTTCCCAGAGCACCAAACGTCGTCTGGTCCTGCACGTGTGCGCCCCAGACAAACAGAGCGCCATGGAACATGGGCAAGAGCAAGCGTATCGCGGCGGCGAGCTCACGAGAAGCGGGCGTACAACACCGGTCCTGGCCTCCTGGGGCACCCGGTCCCGGACTCATCCAGCGCCGGTAATCGAGACGGATTACTCGCGTGCCCGGGAATTACGGAGATCGGGATCGAAGGAATCGATTCGATCTCGACAACCCAAGCGTTTGCAAGCAATCAACGAATCGAAGATTTGGTCAGAGAACGGCGGAAGGAATCGAAGGAAGCTGATACCAGATGTAAGCAGGAAGATAGGAGGAGTACAATAGCAAGCAATCTCAAGAAATCAGCAGAAGAACAAGAACGAATCGGGATTGGGATGAGTACTTGGACGGAATTAGAACAGAGGAGTGCTTGAGTTTACAGAGTTGTTCATGTATTCGATAATCCCCTCTCTGTCTCTCTCCCAATACATATACCAAAACGCTACGGCTCTCTCTCTCGCCAGCTGGTGCCGGTCACGCCCACTGCGGCCCATGGATGCGCGTGTTGGGTCTGTGGTCTCGCTCTCCTCGACGCGGCCCATGATCAGCTTGGCCGGCGTCGTCCACTCCTTGCTCAGCTGTTGCAGATACATGGCCGCTGACAAGTATGTATCACAGCAAACCTGAAAGCAGTGAGTGTGGCCAAAAAAAAAAAAACTCATAGTAGAGGCGCCATGAATCCAGACTCCAAGCTCCTGCTGGACGAGATGCATCATCTCTTCAACGAGCAGAAGACCCAGTCAAGGACCGGTTCGCTGAGGCGGATCGGAAGCTGGACTCGTGCTTCACCGACAGCAGCCGTCTCCTGGAGAAGCGGTTCACGGAGGTCGATGACTCCGTCACCAAGCGCCTCGTCGACGTCGACGACTCCCTCAACAAGTGCCTGACCGAGGTCGACGACTCCATCACCAAGCGCATTGCCGACTCCGACCTCTCCTGGGAACGCCGCATCACTGACTCCGAGCTGCGCCAGAACAACCTCATCGCCGAAGCGGAGCGCCGTCAAGACGACCGCCTCGCTGGCGTCGTGAAGGCGGCGGGCGCACTGGAGAGCTGGCACCAGGAATCTGAAGGCGATGTGGATGATCTCAAGCTGAAGGTGGACAAACTCACCAAATATTGGGATCGATCATTCCTCGACAACGCTTCTGGCGTCGACAGGGTTGATCTCCCCACCACCTTCGGCGTTGGAGCAGACCGCCGCGCGTCCTTCTGCGGGTATCACGGCTGCTCGGCCCAGCGGGCACCACTACGAATCGACTACTACGGGTGGATGGTATTGGGAAAATTCTTCCCAATCCCATTCCCCGGCCAATGGTATGCCACCTGAGACTAAACCTGATGTTTCTCTGTTTCATGGGGATGCTTATGATGTTCATACTCGTAACCATGCCACTGAGCCTAACCCAAAACATCTCCGCAAACTTCCCAAGCAAAATTTTCCTATCTATGAGGGTGAAACCACCAGTCTGTGGATTTCTCAGGCCGAGGACTACTTTGACATGTATGAAGTACCTCCGCGCTAGTGGGTCAAAATATCCCGCATGAACTTCAAAGGTTCCACTGCCCGCTGGATTGAATCCATTCCCCAACCTGATCGTATTCCTTGGCCTGATTTATGCAAATTACTGCATGAACGTTTTGGCCATGATCAGCGGGATCGGCTTGTTCACCAAATGTTCCATATTAGCCAAACCTCCACTGTCACAGACTATGTCGACCGTTTTTCATCCCTTTTTGATCAACTTAAAGCTTATCAGCCAAATCCTGACATGCATTACTTCACAACTCGATTCGTGGATGGGTTACGAGATGACATCCGGAGGGTTGTTACTTTGCAGCGCCCTGCTACGCTCGATACTGCGTATTCCTTGGCTTTACTGCAGGAAGAGGTGGCAACTTCGGAACAGAGAGCTGAAAACAGCAAGATGGGGTTCAGACAACATGCCAAGCCGGCTTTGCCTTGGCAACGGCCACCGGCAGCTGATGGGGCACCAGGAGACAAGCCACAAGCAAAAGGGCCGGATGATAAGCTCTCCACCCTTCGCAACTATCGTCGAGCCCGTGGTCTCTGTGAAGTTTGTGCTGAAAAGTGGGTGCGAGGCCATAAATGTGCAGCTACCATTCCGTTACAGGCTATGCAAGAAGTGTTTGATCTGCTTACCATGGAGCAATCCACTGAAGAATTGGAGGAATCTTTCGAACAGTTGCTTCTAGCTATATCTCATGATGCCAGAATGGGCTCCAATGGTCACCGCACTATCCGCTTTCACGGTACCATTCATGGTCTTCCTATTGTTGTTCTGGTGGATTCCGGTAGCTCATCATCCTTTTTGGCTGCTTCTATTGCTGACCAACTTCCTCAGTTAGCCCGTGTGCCAGCACAAGCTTCGGTCAAAATTGCAAATGGGCAGATTTTGTGCTGTACTTCATCTATTGTCGGCTGTGAATTCTCTGTGCAGGGTCACACCTTCCAGCATGATCTGAGAATCCTGCAGCTGAATTCGTATGATTTGATTTTGGGTATGGACTGGCTTGAGATTTATAGCCCAATGGAAATTCACTGGAAGGCCAAATGGATTTCGTTACCTTCTGATGGGGATGATGGGGATCAGCTGGTGCTTCATGGCATTCCTTCCTCTGAAACTGCCGAGATGATTTTTAAGTTGCTGTCTGTCGAAGTTCAGTCAAATGTTAAACAGTCAGTTGCCTTTCCTTCAGACATTCAGCAGATTCTAGATGCATTCCCAACAGTGTTCACAGTGCCGGATTCTTTACCACCCAAGCGTGCTTGTGACCATGCCATACCTCTTGTCAGTGGGGCTACTCCAGTCAACATTCGAGCATATCGATATCCACCTCAGTTGAAAGATGAAATTGAAACTCAGGTTCAGAATATGCTTTCCCAAGGCTTGATACAACCCAGCTCCTCACCGTTTTCTTCTCCTGTATTGCTGGTATGCAAGAAGGACGGTTCGTGGCGGTTTTGTGTCGACTACCGCTACCTCAACGCCTTGACAGTCACCTAATACCTGTGTTTGATCAACTGGTGGATGAACTTGGTCAGGCATTTTGGTTTTCCATCCTGGATTTATATTCTGGTTACCACGAAATCAGGCTGCAGCCGGGTGAAGAACACAAGACAGCTTTCTCTACACATGAAGGACATTATGAGTTTACTGTGGTTCCATTTGGACTGTCAGACGCACCGGGCACCTTCCAGGGCGCCATGAATGGCACTCTAGCTCCACTCCTGCGCAAATGTGTGATCATGTTCTTCGATGATATTTTGGTCTACAACAACTCTTATGAAGAACATCTCCAACATTTGCAGCAGGTGCTTTCCCTCCTGGCCAAGGATCACTGGGTTGTGAAACTCAAGAAATGCCAGTTCGACAAGCAAGAAATACACTATTTGGGGCATATTCTGACTGGCAAGGGCGTTCATACTGATCCAGCAAAGGTCTCTGCAGTTCAGCAGTGGCCCACACCGGCCAACGTTCGTGAGCTCCATGGATTTCTGGGTCTCGCAGGGTATTACCGGAAATTTATGCGCAGTTTTGCTGTCATAGCGAAACCACTCACGAACTTGCTCAAGAAACACACTCTCTTTGTTTGGACATCTGAGCATCAACTTGTTTTTGACACTCTTAAACAAGCCCTATGTTCTGCACCGGTTCTTGGAATACCAGATTTTTCTAAAGTCTTTGCCATCGAGACTGACGCCTGTCAAACTGGTGTGGGTGCGGTTCTTTTGCAAAATGGACATCCACTCGCTTATGTCAGCAAGCCCCTGGGGATCAAAAACCAAGGACTCTCAACATATGAAAAAGAGTACCTTGCCATTTTGATAGCTGTGGACCACTGGCGTTCTTATCTTCAGTTGGCTGAGTTTGTTATTTACACAGATCAGAAAGCACTCATTCACCTAAATGATCAGCGCCTTCACACTGTTTGGCAACAGCAGGTTTTCACTAAATTGTTGGGGTTGCAATACCGCATCGTCTATAAGAAAGGATGCGATAACAGTGCAGCTGATTCTTTATCTCGCCGAGTTCACCCAGAAGAGATTTGTTGTGCCGTTTCAGTAGTCACTCCACAATGGTGTACTGACATCATCTCGGGCTATCAGCGTGACCATCATTCATCTACCATGCTTGCCAAGTTGGCAACTGATCCTGCAGCAGTCCCACATTTCACCATTGACCATGGCCTACTGAAGTTCAAGAATCGCATCTGGGTTGGAACCAATACTGCTCTGCAACAACAGTTGATTGAAGCATTGCACAGTTCACCTTTTGGTGGGCATTCTGGTATTCCGGCGACGCTCAAGCGTATTCAACATTTATTCGCCTGGCCGGGCATGAAGAAGCATATCACCGAATTTATTAAGAGCTGCCCCACTTGCCAGCAAGCCAAGCCCGAGCGTGTGAAGTATCCAGGTCTGCTACAGCCCCTAGCAACCCCTTCTGCAGCTTGGCAGGTTGTGTCCTTGGATTTTGTGGAAGGACTACCTAAATCTAATGGATATAACTGTATTTTGGTGGTAGTTGATCTTTTCTCCAAATACAGCCATTTCGTGGCTCTGAAACATCCCTTCACCGCTCTTTCGGTTGCCAAGATGTTCATGCAACATATATATCGCCTTCATGGGCTGCCCACAGCTTTGGTGTCAGATCGAGACCGCATTTTCACCAGTCAGTTGTGGCGTGAACTGTTTCACTTGGCTATCATCCGCAATCCGATGGACAAACAGACCGTGTCCACCGGTGCATGGAGACTTTCCTACGCTGTTTTGCAAATAACGCTCCAAGCAAATGGGTGGATTGGCTTCATCTAGCCTAATTCTGGTACAATACTACTTGGCACTCTGCACTCAACCGCTCACCGTTTGAAGCACTCTATGGGCAATCACCTCGGCAATTGGGTATAGACTCCTCTTCTGCATGTTCAGTTGACACTCTTGATGATTGGTTTCAGCAGAAGTCGGTTATGGCCAACCAGAAGCTTGCTTACAGATTTTTTGGTCCTTACCTGATCATTGACAAAATTGGCTCTGTTTCTTACAAGCTGAAGCTTCCAGAATCGTCTTCCATACACCCGGTGTTTCATGTATCGCAGTTGAAGCTGGCGGCGCCTGTTACTCACACTGTTCAACCACTGCCTTCTTCTTTCGATGGACTGCACCTGAACAAGTGTTGCAGAAACGCGTCGCCAAGGTGGGCACGGCGGTGCGCCTTCAAGCTCTCATCAAGTGGTCCGGGTTGCCCTCTTCTCTGGCCACCTGGGAAGACATGGAGACCCTGCTCCAGAGATTTCCTCGAGCACCAACTTGGGGGCAAGCTGGTTCTTATCGGGGAGGGGATGTTAGCGGCCATGTATCTGCAGCAGCTGAGCAAGGAGTGGACGACGCCGGCCAAGCTGATATGGGCCGCGTCGAGGAGAGCGAGACCGCAGGCCCATCACGCGCGTCCATGGGCCGCAGTGGGCGTGACCGGCACCAGCTGGCGAGAGAGAGAGCCGTAGTGTTTTGGTATATGTATTGGGAGAGAGAGACAGAGAGGGGATTATCGAATACATGAACAGCTCTGTAAACTCAAGCACTCCTCTGTTCTAATTCCGTCCAAGTACTCATCCCAATCCCGATTCGTTCTTGTTCTTCTGCTGATTTCCTGAGATTGCTTGCTATTCTACTCCTCCTATCTTCCTGCTTACAATACTCTATACCTAGTTCCCTACAGAAACTCGAAATGTGCCAAAGCAGGCAACTGGTCGATTCAGATCTGAGAATTTTGCATCGACGGTGAGACACAAAGCACCACATCGATGGATGTAGAGACCAGATTTCTATCAATTATCTAAAGAATACAAATACTACAAGACAATACTGTAGATTTCCGGAGAGGCATTAGCACATTTTTTGATTGAAGTTGGTGGGGCAAATCATTCCGGGAATAATAATGCGCTGAATGGCCGGACAAGCTGCTAGTGACGACTCAGCTACCTAGCACGCGGCGCCGCCGTAAGATTTTTTTTTGCTAAGGGCATGTGTAGTGGTGGGTCGACTCACCGAGGCCACGTACGCATACAAGATGCAGTTGAGTCAATTCATTCAATCTTCAGTGGTAGGTCGACTCTTCCTGTGGGCCATTCAAATAAAAAAATGTTTTGTTCTCCTAAGTCGGACACTTGCACGAGCGACCTGGTGCTTTCCGTCTCTTTCCTCTTCCTCTTCTTTCCACGTGAATACTATTTTAATTGGAATGAATCGACTCATGTTTGATGGTCGACTCCTGACACACTTCATACATCGGTTTGCTCCAGTGGTGCACGTATCGACTCGTGCCAAAATAAAACTATCCTATGAGTCAGCATTAGAAACACCACTGCAGAAGCCCTAATAGCCGGCCATCGCAACTACTACATGAAACGTGTGCTTCCATCAACGGCGCAACGGAACTCGCCAGTAGCCGGTGCCCGCGGCAGCGACTGGCAAGAATGACAGCCCGTCCCGGTCTCCTGGAGGTACGTGCATGTGACTATGGGCTCAGTTTGTCCTGCTGCCTGTTGGGCGATCGGGGCGTGGTGTGATCTCGCGAATCGGAGTCGGCTTCACGCTGACACATGCTCCGGGCGTGGTTGATGAATGACTTCCTCAAATAATTTAAAGCTCGTACCACGTGTTCGATGTGACCGTATAGCGTTAGAGATCATGGCCCGTTCGGCTTGCTGAAACTTAGCTGAAAAATACTGTTCTGCCTGAATTGTTGTGAGAGAAAAACACTGTTACGGCTGAAAAAACAAGCTGAACAGTGCCGCTTTTAAGGTAAGCCGAACGGGGCCCATATTGGTGAAAAGTACTGCCGCGTCCAGAAAAACATGAAATTCTAGCACACTGTCATGTTTTAGTATCTTATAAGTTTGATTAATTATAGATAAAAAAATCAATATTCATGATATCAAATAAATATTATTAAATTAATTACAAACTATTTTCATAATAAATCGGTTTGCAGCTATAAATATGAATACTATTTACTAAAAATTTGATCCAATGTGAACTACTTTTTTTTAGCATGCGCGAATCAGAGTCGGCTTCACGCTGACACATGCTCCGGGCGTGGTTGATGAATGACTTCCTCAAATAATTTAAAGCTCGTACCACGTGTTCAATGTGACCGTGTAGCGTTAGAGATCATATTGGTGAAAAGTACTGCCGCGTCCACAAAAACATGAAATTCTAGCGCACTGTCATGTTTTAATATCTTATAAGTTTGATTAATTATAGATAAAAAATATCAATATTTATGATATCAAATAAATATTATTAAATTAATTACGAACTATTTTCATAATAAATCGGTTTGCAGCTATAAATATGAATACTATTTACTAAAAATTTGGTCGAATGTGAACTGCTTTTTTTTAGCATGCGCGAATCGGAGTCGGCTTCACGCTGACACATGCTCCGGGCGTGGTTGATGAATGACTTCCTCAAATAATTTAAAGCTCGTACCACATGTTCGATGTGACTGTGTAGCGTTAGAGATCATATTGGTGAAAAGTACTGTCGCGTCCTGAAAAACATGAAATTCTAGCGCACTGTCATGTTTTATAATCTTATAAGTTTGATTAATTATAGGTAAAAAATATCAATATTTATGATATCAAATAAATATTATTAAATTAATTATGAACTATTTTAATAATAAATCAGTTTACAGCTATAAATATCAATATTATTTACTAAAAACTTCGTTCAATGTGAACTACTTTTTTAGCATGCAAGGCATAGTTGCATATTTTTCTGAAAACTACTAGTCCGCGGTGTAGTTGTAGGTGGGCAGGCACGTCAGTTTTTAAATTTTCTCTTTGCGCTGCTGGCAGACACTGATGCAAGTCGGCTAGTTTGCTGTGACATTTTTAATCATTTTTATTTAATATTTTAATAATAACCATGTCTAATTTTTTTTATCTAACCTTTTTGCTCGTACCCAACCGTAAGACAGAAAAAAAACATATCTTTCCATGTGATGTTGAATAAATATACTCTCGATAACATCTACATCTTTTATTTAAAAAGCAATTTTATGTGACATCAAATAAGAAATATATGATTTTTCTAAGAAGATAAGGTTTGGTACTTGATTAATATGCCCCTTAAATTTTGTATTATTATCTTAAGCATCTTAACGATCTCAAATGAAAGACCTCATAACTAAAAGTTGTTGATCTCATCGATAGTTACGACTTTGATATAAAAAATATCTTCATTGACACCACACAACAAAATATAATTTTCGTGAAGCAACAAGCCTTGATACACAATTAATATGCTGCTGAAACTTTATATTATTTTCTTGAGCATCTTAACGACATTAAAGGTAAAAAAAGGGTGTACCCAGTGCAGAGAGCTCCCGCTCTGTGCGGGGTCTAGGAAAGGGTGTCAGTGGCAAGCCTTACCCTCCTCTATGCAACGCGAGAAGACCGTGAACCGCTTCTCCAGGAGACGGCTGCTGTCGGTGAAGCGCGAGCCTAGCTTCCGATCCGCCTCAGCGAACCGGTCCTCGACTGGGTCTTCTGCTCGTTGAAGAGATGATGCATCTCGTCCAGCAGGAGCTTGGAGTCTGGATTCATGGTGCCTCTACTATGAGATTTTTTTTTTTTGCCACACTCACTGCTTTCAGGTTTGCTGTGATACATACTTGTCAGCGGCCATGTATCTGCAACAGCTGAGCAAGAAGGAGTGGACGACGCCGGTCAAGCTGATCATGGGCCGCGTCGAGGAGAGCGAGACCACAGGCCCAACACGCGCATCCATGGGCCGCAGTGGGCGTGACCGGCACCAGCTGGCGAGAGAGCGAGCCGTAGTGTTTTGGTATATGTATTGGGAGAGAGAGACAGAGAGGGGATTATCGAATACATGAACAACTCTGTAAACTCAAGCACTCCTCTGTTCTAATTCCGTCCAAGTACTCATCCCAATCCCGATTCGTTCTTGTTCTTCTGCTGATTTCCTGAGATTGCTTGCTATTCTACTCCTCCTATCTTCCTGCTTACAATACTCTATACCTAGTTCCCTACAGAAACTCGAAATGTGCCAAAGCAGGCAACTGGTCGATTCAGATCTGAGAATTTTGCATCGACGGTGAGACACAAAGCACCACATCGATGGATGTAGAGACCAGATTTCTATCAATTATCTAAAGAATACAAATACTACAAGACAATACTGTAGTTTTCCGGAGAGGCATTAGCAACTTTTTTTATTGAAGTTGGTGGGGCAAATCATTCCGGGAATAATAATGCGCTGAATGGCCGGACAAGCTGCTAGTGACGACGCAGCTACCCAGTACGCGGCGCGGCCGGAAGATTTTTTTGCTAAGGGCATGTGTAGTGGTGGGTCGACTCACCGAGGCCACGTACACATACAACAAGATGCAGTTGAGTCAATTCATTCAATCTCCAACAGTAGGTCGACTCTCCCTATGGGCCATTTAAATAAAAAAAATGTTTTGTTCTCCTAAGGCCCTGGTGCTTGCGGTCCCTTTCCTCTTCCTCTTTTTTCCATGTGAATACTATTTTAATTGGAATGAATCGACTCATGTTTGATGGTCGACTCCTGACACACTTCATGCATCGGTTTGCTTCAGTGGTGCATGTATCGACTCGTGCCAAAATAAAATTATCCTATGAGTCACTTTGGAAACACCACGGGAGAAGCCCTAATATCCGGCCATCGCAACTACTACATGAAACGTGTGCTTCCATCGACGGCGCAACGGAACTCGCCAGTAGCCGGTGCCCGGAGCAGCGACCAGCAAGAATGACAGCCCGTCCCGGTCTCCCGGAGGTACGTGCATGTGACTATGGGCTCAGTTTGTACTGCTGCCTATTGGGCGATCGGGGCGTGGTGTGATCTCGCGAATAGGAGTCGGCTTCACGCTAACACATGCTCCGGGCGTGGTTGATGAATGACTTCCTCAAATAATTTAAAGCTCGTACCACGTGTTCGATGTGACCGTGTAGCGTTAGAGATCATATTGGTGAAAAGTACTGCCGCGTCCAGAAAAAACATGAAATTCTAGATGTTTTAGTATCTTATAAGTTTGATTAATTATAGATAAAAAATATCAATATTTATGATATCAAATAAATATTATTAAATTCATTACGACCTATTTTCATAACAAATCGGTTTGCAGCTATAAATATGAATACTATTTACTAAAAAATTGATCGAATGTGAACTACTTTTTATAGCATGCGCGAATCGGAGTCGGCTTCACGCTGACACATGCTCCGGGCGTGGTTGATGAATGACTTCCTCAAATAATTTAAAGCTCCTATCACGTGTTCGATGTGACCGTGTAGCGTTAGAGATCATATTGGTGAAGAGTACTGCCGCGTCCAAAAAAACATGAAATTCTAGCACACCGTCATGTTTTAGTATCTTATAAGTTTGATTAATTATAGATAAAAATATCAATATTTATGATATCAAATAAATATTATTAAATTAATTATGAACTATTTTCATAATAAATCGGTTTGCAGCTATAAATATGAATACTATTTACTA